CTTCTTTTTTATGTTTGTTACTCTCTTGTAACACCTCTAATCTTCTGGCGCTCATATGACCTTATGCAGTTGCAAGCGCCGTAAAACCTCTACTAAAACTAAAACTAAACTGATTGATTGGTTGATTGATTGATTGATTGTTTATTTGTTCTGACGTTGTTGGCGGGTGCTCTAGTGTGGCCTGCTCCGTTTTTTCCCGACCAAATGTCTATCGTCCGTATTTGCTCTTCGTCGTCTTTTCTTAGTGTGCTACTCAGTAGTAGCGCCTCTAATCGGCGGTACTTATACATGACTTTTTTGTATTGCTTGTGCTGTAGAACTCTTAATTACATAAACTTCCTCACTCTCTCTCTCTTTCTCTCTCTCTCTCTCTCTCTCTCTCTCTCTCTCCATCTCTCTCTTTCTCTCTCTCTCTCTCTCTCTCTCTCTCTCTCTCTCTCTCTCTCTTGTGCGCGCGTTGCAATGGTATGGTGTGGTGTTGGTGTGACGAAACTTACAGCACTGTGAGGCTATTTAAGAGACGGGACCTTCGATTTAATGCCGTCTACGCATGGATCAAGCCTGCATAAGTTCAAGATCCCTTCGTTAGGGTCATCAGCACCGTAGCCTAGCTTGATACCAGCTGGACAAAAATCCGAAAGTTGCAAGTACCCGTAAACAGAACTGTACAAACAAGCAAGCAAATGCTAGGGTTATTGCGCTTTCAAAGTTGTGTATTATTTGGTTTGATGCCTGCCTCAGAAGTTAACAAACATACACATGATCAAGGTAACAAGGTTCGGATTGCACTGTTCCCACTTTATGCCTCAATGTCATTAGAGCTCGACATAAACAACCAAATGCCCACGATACTTAGGCTATTCTGTTTCTGCTTTGTGTTTCATAATTTATGCATGAATCTCACCTTTACCGAAAGTAAACGACCAAACCCACGAACGAACAAACTCACAAACAAACAAATAAACGATCACATGTTTTCTGCTCCTTTCCCCCAGATGCACGGGCAGCCAGAAACACAACAACAACAGAGTGACGTGCATGAAGGCCGGGGAGAAAGGTTTCTACGGCAGTACTACACAGGGTGGGAGCCAGTACACCTACTCCCTGCCCGGCTCTGTGGGCTGTCACAACAGGGTCGTCAACCCTAACTTTGGGGAGTGACAGAATGGCTCAACACAGAAAGATGGAAGAGGCGGACGGTGATTTGATCACAGTTTGGGGATGGTCACAGAGCCACTTTAGTGAAAGGCATGATATTAAAGATTTCACGCAAGGAAAGCCTTAGGAATCAAATCCTCGATTTGCCACTGGGCGATGACAAAATTATTATGATTATTATTGTTACTATTCCTGTTGTTGTTGTTGTTGTTGTTGTTGTTGTTATTGTTGTTGTTGTTGTTGTTGTTGTTGTTGTTGTTGTTGTTGTTACTGTTTTATTTCAAATGTGCGCTGTTGTTGGTTCTGATTTTGTTGTCGTTGTTCTTTGTATATATGTGAGGGCCTACACGTTTTGACAATAGAGAATTCTGCTCGGCCCCACCTGTTTGAAAAGTAGGAGCTTTCTTTCTAAGGTGCAGATTGTTGAGGTACAGCATCTGCACGAGAAAGTCTAGCACACTAAGTCAAATCTGTGTCTTAGAAAGATGAGCAGTGTGCTTGGATTCATTACAACAAAAAAGGTTTGTCTTAGGGTGCGGCCGTAGTGCGGCAGGTTTTCTGCTACAGGTTGACATGCAGATGCCCGCTTTGAGAAGTGCCTTATTTTGTTTATTTCGAAACCGTCCGGAGTTAACGCGTGTTACCAGCGGTTGTTACGGGCAACCCGCGCAGGCAATTTTACTGGAATGACTTAGCTATTCTTTCCCGCCACCAGTATTAAAAGTTTAAAAATGATTTGTTTTTTATCCTACTTTATGTTGTTCTTGTTAAATGAACTTTGGTCTATAGTGACTATACATTTTGGCTGGGCAGTGACTGTTCTTTTTTCTGCAAAAAATCGATACCGGACACGAATGTTTTGCTTTATATCTGAAACAAAAAAGCTATTAATTCATTGATAAATCATTAACGTTTCTCGTTTAAATCTTTTGCTTTAATTTTGTTGTGCTTTATTCATTGGCGCCTCATTGCACATGGTCGAACCATATCAATCATGTTAGCATGAATTAATTTCGTTAAATGTTGTTAAATATGAGAATGAGAGAGAGAGAGAGA